AATCCTAAACTTAAAAGTGGTCATTCACTGTGTGTGTGAAATAGACTAAATAGTGATTACATACCAAGTTATTGTTCAAGTTAAAGAAGAAAAGTTAAAGTCCACCATAGTAAAAGGGACTGGATAAACGGCTTTTGTATACGCATTTCAGGGCTTACCTTTTGCATAGTAGAGGACGAGAATCTATTGTGGACAGAATATGTAGTCAGAAACCTGTCAAACAACCTGGCCTTACCTTATATATCACTTTGGAAGAATCTCCTATTGACGTGGAGTGATCTGTAATAATAGGGTGTTCAAGAGTTGAACTATTCGGACAACAAATTGTGTCCGAGACGTCATTATTGAATAAATAATAGTGTTTCACTGTGTACGTGTGTGATATGTCCATTCAATAAAAGCAATGTGAAATTACACCCTCACTGCAACAGTGTCCAGGGTTTACAAACATGCAAATCAATTACTACCATAAAGGCTACTCAGTCATATTTTTATTTGAAAATCATCACTGAGAGTCTATGTGTTCATTGAAATCTATCGATTTTGATGTCGATAACGTCATCGCTCAGGTTAGGTAGAGCGATAAATACTACAAGAACAAAAGGATGTAATCTCATTTTTGACGATATTGAACCACTTTATGCCAAAAAACGGAGATGTTTGATGACTAATCATGAAAACTGAGTGAAATCGAATGAACAAGTGAACAGGCTTCAAAACAAGTTGGTCTTGTCGTGCATAATTACAGTTTTCATTTAGGAAGTGAACAAATGAAACGAATGAAAGACATTTTAATTGTAAGGGGCGAGACTTCTGTTCACTAGAAAATTCATAAAACATACTAGTCAATTACCGATAAGTATTCTTTAGGGAAAGCGGTTTATGTTTTTTTAGTTTGATGAGTAGTCTGAAGGCATTTGTACTCGCTAATATTAATTATTTCGTTATGTTCAATGATAATTTGTCGCTCTCAACCTGAATTTTGCACCAGGTAACGAAATATAGTGAAAGTTGTGATTAGGTTTTTAAACATGTTTTTGTATGCTTTGGTTATTTATGCATATAACTTAGTCCTTTCGGGGTGGATTGTTACCCCAGCACTGAGTATATTTATTTTATATATTCACACTCAGCTAAATTCTCATGTCTCGATAATGAGTTTACTTTCGACCTGTGGTTTAACACGTGTATTTGAGTTCATAGGCATAACAAAGTCATTTGGAAGAGACATTGTTTTGTCTAATTGGACAGGTTAAGTCCTTGAACCTACAGAGCTTGTCCCTGAGACTGTGGATTTGGGTTTAAATGTCACCCTAATTCCCGCTCCCTTAAGTATCCTACCTAGCCTTTCAGATATCCTTTTTTCATTTTGTAAAACTGTAGACACCCTAAATTCTCTCATATTTATCTTATTCTCAATAGTTCCACTACTATTTTTTCTGTTCTTTTGAGATTTCGTGATCTTATTTTTCTTTCTACTTCATTTCCTCATTTAACTTTTTCTATGTACTGATTACATTTTATTGCTCGGTTTGCCAGATTTTCAACTAAGTCTGCATTTATGGATAACGACTGAGGTGAACTGACTTTAGTCAAATGTTTAAAGCCATTATGTGATTAGTAGTTAAAGAGTATTGAATTAGGAAACTCCTCTTAAATTTCTCAGTGTTCATTTTAAGTTTGATGTGTTGTAAAGTTATCCTTTAATGGGCTTAATATTATATAAGATAATGAATGTGAACTCTTGAAGTGCTTTCTCCGAGTATTAAATAATGGATTGAAAGTTATACAGAGTTCAACTGTGGCAGAATAAATTAGCCAACTGCCTGAAATAACTTTCATGATATAAAGAATCAATAAAACTACTGGACAGATGTTGTATCTTACTTTGGGACTCTTCAGTGGTACGTAACCGTGAGTCTGGTAGGGGTTTCATCAGGTGACTAGTGACACAAACTGATTTTTGGTGGGGGAAAGATACTCGTCGATGACATTGGATGAGGGTGACGCCATATATCCCAATTCGGCAGAAGTTGGAATTTACAGTTAATTGGATTTCATCTCAGTGGATAAACTGACAGCGGACTCGTGTTGTGAATTGCGGGTCCAGTGTTCAGTCGCCGGTGGGGTCATGGGCGACCACTATTGAAGAGGCTTAAACAAGGACGAAATGGCTGTGATTCTTCAGCTGATGCCACTTGGTTCTTTAACCTAAAACCAGCAAAATTTGTGCACACCAACACTTAAAAACTAACGAAACCCCACCTGTCAACAGTGATTTTTATAGATTAAATAAAACGGGGAAATGTTCATGGTTTTTTACCCAAAAATTACACGTGTATAACTAATACACAAAAGGCTCAAGTTTAACCAGAAATAAAGTGCTTGTTTACATTGTCAAGGCAGTTTCTTAATAAAGACAGAAGGTGAATAAGTAGATGATAAGTTGAGTAGCTCAATGTGGCGACTTTAACTCAATTCGTACAAACAAATGATAAGTTAAATTACACTAGATCAAATGGGAGTAATTGTTAAAGCTAACGATTATATATATCATAAATATATATATTATATCAAGTGAAAGACAGTGTAAAGACACCGAACTGCAGGCGCTGTCTCTTTATGAACATAAAAATTGGGTTTCAAGCGTTACCTTAACGTTTTTGGATGACCATGACCCTATTCCTTGTGATAGTCAGGTAGTACATCACATCAGAAATTCGTGAATTCTAACGCAAATCCTCTAATTTAATCTTAACTCTTGAAGGTTTGTGTTGAGGAAATCTCATGTTTTAAATATGACTTACATGTACGGTAGTATTCACGCGTTGAGTCTGCGAAAAATGCGATTGGTCTCAGTGGCAGGTGTAGTAATAAACTAACCAATATACACCGCAGAACCACTATGAATCAATCAGCAGTGTTTTATCACTTTTGGAGAGTTCAATATGTTAGGTCTCTATGCTGATGAAAAGTCATGAACTAGAAGAAATCCTCTGTTCATTCACTCCATGGGTCTTCCTGTATCTTTAGGTTACATCGGTTCTTCGAAGAAATGTATTTCTCTGTTCTTTATTCTAGAAGATAAATACTTGTCAGGCAAAAACGACAGAATTGTTGCTTGAAAACCAGTTTCATTTTCACACGGTTAGCTATAATACACACTTGTTATGTGTGCATGTATGTGTAGGCTTTCGCTTCCCTGGCAACTGGATGTCTTTACCCTCTCTTTCATTTTATTACGTAATCTTTGTCTTTGACCATCTCTTCTTCGCTTCAATGTAATTCAGCTTGTCTCTTGTTTCTGTGACTTGACCTGAACTCAAATCATTGTTACTCAACTTATTAGTTACTCATCATCTTACTCATCTATTTTCTTTATTAGTCAACTCCCTTGCACAAGCAGAGCTCTGTGTGCGAAAGAAACAAGTTCAGTCATTATTGCTAGCCTGACCTCCTGTAGAATCTATAAATTCATAAATTTCTAGGATGAAACAGCAGCTGTCCAGCACTCCCTGGTTTTCAATGGTTCTCTAACTGATATCAATCCGTGATCAACTCGTAAAAATATATCTAACTCTTACAAACCAAACTATAGAAAATGAAATTATTGATTCGATTTTATTTAAAATAGTATTAACGTCGTCAATAACAATAATTCTTTAATTATTATTGAGATATAGTTGAAGAACTTAACGAAGTTATTCAAAATAATATTCTCTGTTCACCAATTAGTCTTTTAAATTTTTAATGGGTATCTTTATTCAATTCAAAACTTTTTTGACAAAATTCTTTGGTTTATGCAGGCTGATGTAATGCATTTTGGACATCTAGGAAGGTTTCCATTTTTCACTTCTAAGTAGATTGTTGGTCATTATTCATGTTAGGCTGTTAACACAATGATGAAGTAGTGCACGTACTCCTTTGAGTATACTCTGTTGTTTTTTCGTTATTCAGAGGCTTATTTGCACCCTTAAGACATATAATTCACCATTCAATGCAACAAATACTCCATCCATTTTAACGTTCATACCCATATGAACACATGCTATAAAACAGTGTCCATAGTGTGGTATTTATTCAAATGATAGTTTAAAATTTCATACACTTATTCGCCCTTATGAATTTGAATAAAGCGCAATCAGCGGTCTGTATAGAATAAAGTCTTACGATCGTTTATTTCATCGTCTGCTTGTCGTCTCCCTACAGCTTGTGAAATTTGATATGATATCAGTTGACAGGAGACTTCGGACTTAATGAACAGCTCCCAGAAATTACATTTATATAGCTTATACACAGAAAGTTCAAGTTGAAACAAAAAAAATAAAAGCTTGGATACAATGTGAAAGGAGTTGCGTAATGGAAATAAGTGGTGGATAAGATGATGAGTAACTGACAAGTTGAGTAATCTCTTACAGTTCACCACTATGTAATTTTAATCGTCTCTGGTTTCTATGATTTAGGCTAAACTGAGCACAACCCTGCTCAGCTTGTAAGTTACTCATCATCTCCAATCCTCTGTCTTTATTACAAAATTCCTTTCCCACCTATTTTTTTGTTTAAACTTGAACCTTCTGGGCATAAGTTGTATAGATATAATTTCTGAGCACTGTTTAAAAATTTTGTAGTCTGCTGTCAACTGATATCATCAAGTAACATTTACATGTTAAAATTGTTCTGTACATAAACTTTATGAATTTATTTAGGGTGTATAGAATTGTTGAGAAACCAACGAAATAAACTATGGTACTATGGAATTCTTTACAATCCGGTGTTCTTCCTTTATCCAAAATAATGGTATTAGGCTGTTCAAACATCGATAAGCGGAACTGAATTCGAATCCGCGACCCAATGATTTGGCATTTAAAAGAAAACAGTTTTTGCTAAAATCCCACGTTATTACTGTTGAGATGAATTCACTTCTTGACGAAGTATACTCTTAAGTATCAATATATTAACTGTGTCTCTGTTATTATTATGTTCATTATTTAGTTTCCGAAATGACTACTATATATAATAATAATATGATAAACGAAATATATTCTACTGAGAAAATGAATAAACAGTATCCCTGCAGAAATACTCAAAATGATTTTACAGTGAAAACGGATTCTAAAGCCAGTTCTTCGACGAAACAATCAGTTGAGTTAGGAAAATTGTATACTATTCAAAGTCAACCACAACAACAGAATGATCAACATCAGGAACATCAATACCAAGAATTGATGTCTTTAATGTCCTACCGTAATAATATTGCTCAACTAGCTAACAGTTATGAACAAATCATTAAAACGTACAGAAAAATAGAGCTCGAAGCAATGGCCTACAAAGTTTCAGCAGGTATGGTCGATTCTTAATCAACTTTTACGTTGTTGATAATTTCTGTTAATTTTTTTTGATGGATGATTGAAGAATAAATTAAAATCTGAGTCACAGTGAGATTTGAATCAGAGGTCTCTCAATTATCGATCTACCAAGCTACTTAGGAGTTGATTTATCAATGATGACTGCTAACTTGGTCAATCCTATCTAACTGCAACCACCTTAGGCGAGGTTTATCCATCAGTTGAATGAACGGCATGTTACTGTCCGCCTGTCATTACATGAACAGCCCAGTTAGGTTTCTTCAGAGCAGTAGTCTGTCTTGTCATCCTGATGCCAGCCGGCTTTCACATCACAATTTTCGCCACCACCTTTAGTTGAAACGATGCTGCTATTGATATTGATATTGTTGGCTGCTTCTTGTTGTCTCTAACACTTCTATGTTCACATGAAGTCCTGTTTTCGCCGCTTCTTGTGAAAACTTGCTAGTTTCCGCCTGACAGTTCCGCATAATGCACTGACTTCATATGGTCTTCATACACTTCTTGTGGCTTAAGTCATCTCTGAAACCTGGTTATCTCAACCACATTTTTCGAGTGTAAGGATATGAGTTGATAATAAATCTGAGTCATCCGTAATGAATCGGTACTACACATAATATTGATTTAGAGATATAGACAGTATGAGAGTACAAGGCATCTAGAATTGAAGGGTATTCACCCACTAACGCTTCTGTGATGTACTATCCATCTGTTTCCTAAATAGAAAGTGGTGAAACTCTTGTACGAAGAATAAGATGTCTTGAACTGTTGTTATAAATCTTATGAAGGAGAAATTAAATAGATTTGTCATGAGTGTCATCAGTTTACGAATTCAATGAAAACTGAAAGGAAGTAGGACTTGGTATATTGACTTTCTGTCTGATGTCTGTGGCTACAAAGTTTCATGAAAAGGTCTCCAATTCAGATGAAACTGATACAGACATATACACAGATGTTAATGATTAACTTATGCACTTGATATTCAGCCAAGTGAGGGCGAAGATTGGAATTCTGATCAACTTATCAAGTATTGACAATCGGTTTTACTAATGAATAGCATCCATTGCAATTCAACAAACGGGGAGCGTGTACTGACATATGAATATTATTAACCAACGATATTGTTTTGTCTCTGATGTCTAGCCTAGAAACTCAGGTAGCTTATTGCATCTCCGGCACGTCGGCCACATGTATTTACATGCATAGTGAGAGTGTTCCCAGTGAAACTCGAAGTCTCCATCCATCGTTTCAAATGGAAAAGACTCATCTACTTGGCTAGTGACTGTTATCATTTATTGAAGCAGGTACTTGGTACACCATGAGTACCAAGAAATGCCTCACATAAAGTCCAATAATTTGTGCAAAGGATGGGATACTGGCAGGACGCCTAGAGAAGAGCTTATGGTTATCTTAAGGAGCTGTCCACCTGCTTGGACCCTAACATGAAGTCTGATCCACCGGGAAATGGAGCAGAGTCAGGAAATACTGGCGACCGATATAAGTTCATAAAACAGTTAGTCCATTCGGATTCCGAATTCTACCTGCACTGTAGGTTTTAAATCAGGGATGTTCAGCTGGCATTTCCACTAATCCTGTTGTAATCTCCAGATATTTGCATTCACACTTTCACTTTTGCGAGGAACATCTCTGCCGCGTGGAGGCAGTGTATGGGACTAACCTGAATGAGGGAGACCATTAATGCCAGACTACATGGAAGTATTTAGAGATGAAGACTGGATTCTAGTCATCTAAGACTGTACCAAGTCATATATGAGAGCACTGAACTACATCAGCCTACTCTTATGCAAAGAATCTTACTTAAATTTATCAAAATGTTTACAAGATGTATATACTTATTTGTCATAACTGCAATGCGCTAAACACTCTGAACTAGAACATTCATAATATATTTATTCTATATGCACAGTGCATTCATCTTTTGAACTCTCATTCTGGATATTTGCTTTTATTTGTTCCTTAATCTTATGAGATAGTAAATGTAGAGTTAAGGTGAATCATCATTAAATGATATAGAGTTGTGAGTCATTAGTCTAGGTAGGTTCACTCGATTTGTAACCACTGGATGACGGTTGTGAACTATTTCCCACCCACTTAACAAAGTGTTCTGCAGCTAGACAATACTATTTCCAACTGTACAGGTGATTAATATGGCAATAGAAGTGGTCAGGAAAGAACTTATTTCTGATCTAGAACTTGGATTTGAAATCAGTGTACCACTTGAAGACACCATGTTAGCAATGCAGCTATGTAGGAGTTATACGGTATTTAAATCACAAGGAAAAATTTCCAAGGAAACTGAATGAATTACTACGGGGTCGTCAGTATCCCCCACAGTGGGGAAACTTAGCATCTGAAATATTCAACCCCACTCCAAAGTAAGGTGAGGGTATGTAGATAATACATTCAGAGTATTAAAAACACAGGATATAAATTGATTCTTTCAACGTATCAACTAAAAAGTAGAGACAACTCCCTTCAGTTATGAACTATTTAGTCAGAAAGGGGATCTTCCGAATTTAAACTGTAGCATGGAAAGGAAAGAAGATGGGAATTTAAACGCTAGTATTCACAGAAAACCTACACAGCTGAACCCATATTTGGATTTCAGTCCATCTCATCCTATGTCAGTAAAAATGGGATTGATGAAAGGTTTAAGTAATGTGGCAAAACAGCTCAATAGTATCAAGACAAATCTAAGGTAGGGAGTAAGACATAAGAAAAGCCTTGATACTCCGCAATTACTCTGAGAAATTAATCAGGGAGTATGCGGAAAATTGCAAAAATAGAATCAATAATAAGAATAATATGCATAACAATTAGGGAATTTAAATCAGCAGTAGTACTGCCATACACAAAATGAATTACTGAAATCTTACGTAGAATTCTCGATAATGTATGAATAAAAGTGGTATTGAAACCCAAAAAATTACATAGAAACAAGCAGTGTTGGTTAAAAAATGCTTTGGAGCCCATTAAACGAAATAATTTGTTTACTAATACCCTGCAATGGTTGTGAAGTCAAATACACACATGAGAGGAGTGGACCAGTCCAATTAGGTTAGCGGAGCATATAAGACTAACAGAATCCTAACTAGTTGACAATAATGATGTAAGAAACCTAGAAAATAGCCCAGCAATAGCACTACATGCAGTTATAGGCACATACACAGCCGTACAATAGGATAAGAAAAGATAGCGAGCTTAAAATCTAATATAACACGGTGGAGGGGAGAACAGATTGATAGCAGAAACTTTGCTTGTCGAATCAACTGACAATACGTGCAACAGAAATGATTCAATACCTGTCCAACAGGACATCTGGAAAATTCTACTTCCCTGAGATGAGTGGGAAGGAATGAAGAAAATCATAAAACTCAAGTTTCGAAGTTGTGCAATTATAAGTGATATGACTGTCGACGATAAATTGTGTTTAAAGCTTTGTCGTCTGGTAAGTAATACTGTCTAACTGTGTGATCAATATACCATCTACATTACTCTTTTTTAACGCACCATGTGTTTCTCTACTGAATCTTTTCCCCCCTATCCTCTGTTTTTGTCAAGCTTGTCAACCACCTAAGAGTGTAGAAAAGTTGAACTCAACCAATTCATGTACCCAGGTCATCAATCGAACTGCATCAAATATTGCAATATCAAACTGTCAGCACAACAGAGAATCATCTACGGCCTCTTCTGTAAATCAACCAATAATATATCAGTTGAATATGTCAAAATATCTTGAATTACATCAATTCCCTTGCCAATCGTCATCATCATTATCCTCTTGTCACCCTGCAAATATGCACTGTTTCACGCCTTTACCAGTGAACAGATTATCACGTAAAGTATTCATAGGTGGTATTCCAATGTTAGAGAATAACGTAACAACAATGACAAGAGATCAGCTTTACAAAGCATTGTTTATATTCGGTCAAGTTAATATAATCTGGCCAAAAAGAACATTTGTAATACCATATAGTCAAAAGTATCATGAAACATCTATGAAAAACTGTTGGAAACGAGGTAATTAATGCAATTTTAGCTATTTATATACGACTTTACATATATGTGTGTGATATTAGCTAGTAGCGAAATTTGAAAAGGTATATTTCATTTTCGCATAATACTGATTAGCTATATAGAAGTGATCGTAAGACTGGTTAACGGCCGTTTCCCTCGTTTAGAACCACTTTCGTCAGTAGCCTACTCGGTTTGACTCTGATCACAGAGATGAAGCACTTCAAACCATCCGAATTTTGGCCAGTCACATGGGCGAAATAATAATGCACACAATCAGATCCACTATTTGGCAAATAACACAATTTAAGGACGAAGATCACCACACTTTCTTCTGGAAACTGAAATAAATGAGATCACCAAAATATGCGATGTGCTTGATACCATAAACGGCAATTAAGAAGGCAGAAAAAATTTCACTAAGGTACAGATTACTGACCAATATGAATAATTGGAAACCACTCATGTCAAATAGTAGTAGTATCACCAGCCTGCCCACGAAGCTATTCAGAATTCAGGTGTTTGAACTGATTTGGCTGTCTTAGCTGAAACAAAGCCACGTACACCGCTGATAAGCTGGCATCCAGAAGAGTTTCTAGATCACTTCAACATAGCTGGCAAAGACAACTGCTCAATACGATTGGTATTCAACTACTCATACTAATCAACCAGTTAGTAATATATAGCATCATGCATTGATTCTGGCTTTCTTGATTACCATTAATTGCATCAAGTAAATCACATACTGTGATGTGAATGCTTTTGCTTTTCAAAGTTACCTGTGGTACTTTCGCACTTCGGTTAGTGTAATTTACAAATGATGGATTTGATTTTATGTGTAAGTTAATTACATATTTTCGTATATAGAAGTTACACACCTACGTCTTATGACGCATGCAAAGACCTAAACGTTTATATTCAACTTATATCCTAAGGTGTAGCCAATAAATGGACGAATGTCTAGTATTAATCTTCAAGTATTGGTTTTGTAGGGATTTTGTTTGATTGGATGGAGTATTAAACAATCACATATATTCGTGACACATAAATCACGGGAAAATCCTATGCCTGTTATTACGGGTTAACACAACTCACGATGGTGAATCTGACTTGTAAAGAGAGTGTAAACTGACATTTCTCATTCGTGCAGTCACAAATTCAACTTATATATCCCAAATGTCAAAGTTCCTGCAGAATTCGAGACAGTGGCTACCCACTAATTATCGACCAAACTGCCAATTCACTGGGATCACCACAGATGATATCCAGCTGTCATTTTATTTCATCTTTCATTCTTTACCTATTATTATGTTAACATTCTACCAGCCTAAGGCTAACTCAGAAATTCACTACAAAACCATTTCACATTTAATGTGTTTAAACATGAAAACTACTGAAAAACCAGAGAGTACAGAACGGCTGTTTCTTCCTAGCTGGGGAACTTTCATCAGTACTCTCCCACCAGCATTCGAAACCAAGATCTTCCGGTCACAAAGCGAGCTTGCAGGACATTCATCCACTGGGACCTGACCCAGTGACAGATGAATTCAAAATTCCGTTGATTCACGATATATAGCGGGGCTTTCGGCCAATAACCTACCATACTTGGTGGGTCCTACCGGTCAGAGCCTGTCATTTGGATTCCAGATAACTTCCTGGTTTTCCAGTGGACCTCTGCTTGATGTAAGCCGGTGATCAAAAGTGTAGGCAATCAGATTCCTGCAGATCAACGCTTAATAACTCATTGTTGTTTCACATGTTTTGTATTAGGCCATTGTTATGCCGTATTTAATGATCCAAGAAGCGTAACTCAATTACTGTCAGCTTGTTATCAACGTACTAAAGGCTACTACATTGACCTTTCAAGAGTTTCTCCCGGTTTGAAAAATGCAAGATTAGATTCCCTTCAAATAATTCCTTGGGATACACAAGGTTCGGTTTATGAATCCCCAAGAAATAATTTTGATAGTCTTTATAACGAGTAAGTTCTTTGAAATTCCTTTTTGTTCCTTTTTCACATAAACATCTAGCATCTTTCATTTCAGTAATAGAAGGTTAGAAAAGGAAGAACATAAATCAGCGTAGATCAGTAATCTGTGTATACAATCGCCAATCTGTTTTATTTTCGAATGCCTGTGTAATGGATGAGCCCCATCCAGACATTAAGCAAAAAAAGACAAATAGTTCAGTGTTGAAGGGGCTTCTTTCGGCAATTTCAGTGTCTTTAGTTGTACAATCGCTTCTACATACAATCAGTCTCTTTTCATAGGAAGAAGGTAGTAACAAAAGTGATCAGTTGTCAGGGTCAGTTTTGTTTATATAAGTCAATATATAAAAGGAGTTGAATAAGGGTGTTGGAGTTACACAATAAGATGAAAAATCTAGTGAATCAGATGCATACAGAAACTAAGGGAAGTATAAAGTTACATAAGAGTTACAAAGAAATACAAGACTTACACATAGTTTAAACACAAACAGACCAAAATGAAGTTGGCAGACAATAACACGGTTGTAACCATCACAGCAGAAGCAGCTGAATAGTTTTCTTTATTACGTATAGCCCCGGCTTTATTATTTGAACGGCTAGAGCTTTAGCAATACTGAGGAGGCGAAATCATGCTCTCTTTGACAGGTTGTTCTTCACTTTGTGGCGTAATCTGAAGGAGGGGTTTAGGTGGGATGGAATGACCAGGTTCACATGGATTTTAACTGTCACACTCCTCATACAGCCACTTCCATTTTCCGCAACCATGTAGGATAGTCTTCCTGAACCATTTTAGACAGGACACGCGTCGAACGACCAATATACACCTACCTGCACAGTAACATGTGAACTGATATTTGCAAATAGAATTTTTAGATATGAGGTCTTGTCTTTCAGGCTCTTGCGTAGCAGTAGGCGATTAGAGAACACGACTCTTACCGCTTTTGCAAAGAATTTTCTTCCCAAATATTTTGAAATCCTTCTCCTAAAGATATCGCAGTTCAAATATCCCTCGAAATCTAGCTTCATTTCGAGTTTCTGTTTTGATGCGAGTAGTGCTCCGTTTCCCTGGATTTTTTGTTTGTCTGTTTTGTCAATGAATTTAGATGGGTATACCTGCAGGATGAAGATTTCTCTTAGGTCTTTTCTGCTTATAAATTATGAGGAATACAGATCCATCGGTTACAATTAACGAGGGACTTAGTTACGTTTTAATTTCGTTCATGCGTTCCATTCTTTCTGTATGATATGATGGATAACTTATTGTCATATGCTTACAGAAACGAATTAAAATGTGATCTTACATAAGAGTTGTAGAGATTTACAAGAATTATGAATGGCTAAAAAGCAAAAAGTAAAACTAAAGATGGTAGAAAACACCATGGTTGTGCCCATGATATTAGAAATGCTTGAATAATTTTCTGTTGTATACAGAGCCCCAGTTTCTCAATTCGAATGGCTGCAGCCCCCATCAATACAGTTATCAGACCTAATAAATCCCAAGTTATCTGATAGATAGAAGGGAGGAGGGATCAGTAAATATGATTTATCTAATCTCACATCACAGAGTGCTATTAGACATACAATGGCAATCAGGTTGACATACCTGATTCCCTTTCCCTCAAGCGTCGAATAGCACGAAGCAGGAGTCATGGATTCGACTGCCAGCCAGCACCTATAAAATAAAACAGTCATCAAGGTGGAAATGCAGCTTGCGTGCACCTATGGGGCTTCTATCGACCAATGTATATCCAAAGCTTTTTCTCTCTTCTGAGAATAATAATAGTGGCCGTATAAAGCGGTCAGTATCGAAATGCAGCCTATCAGAACACTATTTGTGGTGGCTATCTCACTAGGATAATGCGGGTCAGTCAGTCCCTCAATTCTCAATCATCTGGTAAATTCAGAACACACCATTCACCCCACTTCCCGATAAATATATTTTCGAACTGTCAACAAAGCAATGCTGAATAAAGTATGAGGGGTGTTGTGTCTCGGTGCTTGTGTATGACGGAGACACAGACAATTCATCAACTGTATGTCAAACTCTGCACAGAGAAAGACTTTTGTTTTGCATTGCTTTAGGCTTATGCTACTTTCTAGTTCTTTTTCGTTCCCATTTTTAGTATGTAATCCACGAATATCACACTTAAATGTTCTTTTTGTGCATCTTACTAGTTGGTATATTTTCACCTTGTTAAATTTTAAAACTTTACTTCCGTTACATTGATAATAATTAATTTTTTCTGGTTTTAGGAACCATTTCTAAATAACTGCATCGATTATGTCAGTCCTACGCTGTTAGGATGTACAAGTTTTTTGTAATCCCAAAAGTCATGTTTTATTCATGTACCAACATCGCAACCTGACTGGATAGTTTTTATTCGTTTGTTTTTGACTTAACTTTCTGAGGGTTTGCGGTGTCATAAAGTCAATCAGATTCATCTTATTTACAGATTAAATTTCAGATAGTTTTTAAATACGTAGATTGTCATGTATTTTGTCTAATAAACGTTCTCTTTCCGGATGTCGTTTTTCCCAGTCGGTTTCTTGTACCCACCTCAGTGTGGGAGACACTTCCAGGTGATCAATTGGTTAAAGTGTCGTGTACTGTAGGTGAATTCTGGTCAAGTTACAAGAATTCACAACCCAGTAACACCGCATTATAACAGAAGTACCGTTCAATCAGAAACTGCTATTTGTTTTAGTGAATACATAAATACGACGAATTGGTTCACAAATAAAAATTACCTTCACTGTTTGAAAATGAACTAAGTAAGAACTTTTAGAGTCGTTTAAGTTTCCCAGTTTAGGGTTTTTCCTCTGCTCGATTAACCATGAATAACAAATAAAATTTTGCTCTAACAGTATTTACTCAAATATCAGCAATTTCCACCGTTTTGTAGAAATGCTGGAAACTCAATTTCTTTGCAATATGGATACGAAATGCCAAGATCACGATATCCTGCAAAAATACAAACTGTGTTTGTGGGAGCTTTACATGGAATGATGACAGCACGGGCTCTGTTTACCATATTCAACGACCTTTTTGGCAATGTTGTCCGCGCTGTAATTGACACTGATAAGTATAATTATCCTATTGGTAAGTTGCATTACTAAAAGACTTTTTGAGTAGTTAAGAGAATTATTGTCACTTTTAACAGTTTGAAAAAATTTGTGTATATGATATTCATTATAAAAAAGGTTTTTGTACTTTGATAGAGCTATTAGCATTAAATAGCGAAAAGTCAGTAAAAAGAATATCGTTTTGTTCTTCATTCATTGGGAAATACAAAAACCTTTATTATAGAGAATTATTGTCAATTATTATTAATGATGCAATATTCACCCAAGAGACTTTTCAACGAATTTATTGTCAAGCTGTACAATCGCATATACATGGTTTTTAAGAAACCATATCTCTTAAGAAAACCGTAACAAAGGTGTGAATACTTGAAGAAATAATAATTTGAAATGAGAATAAAATGCTTGTGATAATAATCACACTTAAATAACAAGAGGCAAAAAAATAATGTCATATATAGAATGATGATCGCCAGCGACTTGCTACAAGATGGAGTCTCCTGGAATTCCAGTGGATAGTCATGACCAGTGAGGTGCCTCCCGTGCGGAGTGAGGATGGATTTCCCACCAGTGACATTAGGTGGTGATCACACTAAGAAATCACGAATTGGTGGAAGTTAGAATTCAGTGGCTTAATGGTAGACGAGCTCGCCTTGTAACCAGAAGGTCCTGGATTCGAATAACGGTGGGTGCGTACCGATGAAGAGTCCCAAACTAGGACGAAACAGCTGTCCAGTACTCCCAGATTTTCCAATGGTTCTCTAACTAATGTCAGCTCATGATGAAAATCCTGTAACCAATCAAATCCCTACAAACCAACCCTTGAATATTATTTGGCTTTATTTAATCACACTGATAGGTGTTCCCGAGAACTAAAAATTAGTATCATAGAGGAGTGGTCAATATAACTGACTCCACAGAAGTAGTTGAACTGATAAAGGTGACTAGCCTAGATACTTCATCTTTCAATTTCGGTACAGTGATGGGTCATGTGAAAAATGTGAGCTGTAGCTTACCGACACTAAGTGTTCTTTGAATTGATGCAGTGGAGTAGGAGTCATACATGCTGTTAAATATCGATACTCTTCCGCTATTGTAGGCTCAGTAGATAATACAGAATAAAAACTTATTTTTCGCTGCTAGAAAGTTTAAATATCTTAATCTATTAACTAGCTTTAGTATCAAAATGATATTACAGTTCAGAATGATGAAGTCCCAATATGCCGGATTGTGACTCCGTGAAACTAGCCACATTCAGCTACCATTCCATATTCATCGGTTTATTGAATATGTCGCATGCACACTAAGATGGAAACTACCCCGATATCTTAATTAGGAAGTGCATAGGAAAATATAAGGAAAAAATAATTAAGAACGTTTTCCTCATAGCCTGCAATGATTGTCAGGTTGAACGTATAAATCGAAGAAGAAGGCTGGGGTAAATTAAATTACCCAACAATCGAAATCTTGTAAAACTGAGATAAGTTCGCCTTAATAAGATAAGAAACCTAGAGAAGAGCTCGCCATCTGCGCTACATGCAGTTGGACACATTTACTCACAACAGATCATAACAAGACGATAGTCTTAAGATCAAAAACAACAATGTTGGAGGGGGAAATTTATATCAAATCAACTGAGAAAACATGCACAACAGGACTGACTCAGCATCTACGCTTGGCGTCTCGAAGATTCTGCTACTCTTATGTTAATTAGGAAAGAAATTATGGCAGGCATGGAAATCGAGTTCAAAGCTCAGCAGTTACAAGTGACGATAAGATTGTTAAATTAATAATATTGACTGACTGTATTCACCACAGAACTTTACACAGGAGTACAGAAAGAAGGACAAAAGAGATGGAGGAAAAGATTCACAAAACAATAATCAGCAGAAATGCAGAAAAGGGGGGGATGAATGGTAACATGGAAAAACAACTGGGTTTAATGGATATTACAGATCTCAAAAAGTGACTACATCTGCGCCATTGAGAATAATTTTTATCCATATTTCCAACTGTCTCTAGTCGTTGGTTCTTAGCATCCTGAGGAGCCCAACCAAGAACTAACTGCCAAAGATTTCATGGACTAATGCCAAGTTCTAGTTTGACCACCATAAGTTGTTCTCCAACCTGATCCTTTGTCAGCTAGTATTGTCTGTCGAGGAAAGTGATTGCTGGAAGTGCGTAACATACGTCCTATCCATTTCAACTGTTGCAACTTCACAACCTCATTAGTGGACCTTACCCAATACTTGATTCATGAACTCAATGTTACTCAGGCTGTTATATCACCTAACACGGGAGATAGAAGGCAGAAAACTGTGATCAAAGACTGTTAGTCTTTTCATATCTTTCACTTTCAGTGACCATGTTTCACAGCTATGGAGAATGACGGAGCGAACTGCTGGGCAGTACAGAAGTCCTGTGTTAGATAGTCAGATATCACGTGTAAGCTAGGGGTAACCTAAATGGGTAAATGTCACACCAGCTGAAGGACTAAATTTTGTATCCAGCGGTATTTATCTAAACTTAGTCACTAGGGCTGATCTGCATCAATCAATTATATTGAACATTCATCCTTTTCAAGTATTAGTTTGTAGGGATTTGATTAGTTTCAAGTTGAATCATGGATGAACATCAATTAGAGAACCAATGAAAATCAGGATGTACTGGAAAGTTATGTTTTGGGACCTAGCCTGGGACCCATAATGCCAGTAAAAATCGAACCTAGGTCCTACTGGTTACGAGGCGATGCCACTGACCATTTAGTCACTGGGGCGGGACGCGGTGACCCAACGGGTGAGTGATCTTCTAAATGATATCAGACCGTTTTTAATCTACTAAGTGAATTCGAAAAAATGTCAGTCTTCTTCCCCGGGCTGTAAAGCAATTTCATGCCTTTATCTACTCTAAAATTGTAAACAAAAGAAACAAAACTTTCTAGTAAAATTAATTCGTTTCGTTTTGTCTAGGTTCAGGACGTGTAGCTTTTTTGTCTCCGCAAAGTTATTTGGCAGCAGTGACAACGAACTTTATTCGTGTTGAGTGCCAGTTGTTCAGCAAAGTGGTAAGCATATGTGGTTGTTAATTTTTTATACATGCATATATGAAATGAATTTTTCTAGCACACTGAGAGAGAGAGACAGCTATTCAGTTTTTACTAGCGAATTATTTACTTTAATATTATTATTCTTTTGGGTTCCGAGAGGAATATAGGTCTTCAACAATACATCTCCTTGTCTTCTGAAGTCCTCTTCAACTGGCTTCATAATTTCCCATAAGCTTTCATATCCTGCTCACATAGTGTAATCCATGTCATCCTCTGAAAAGTATGAAACTCGTTATTATCCAATTGGTCTCCACTCAAGACCACTCAACGGTCCCTTTAGTAAAAGTTTCCATTCCACCTCCATTTCCGTATCCATATTTGTTGGACAGTACGTTCCTGGTTGATCAGAAAGGATAAGCACCAAGGAACTCTGGCAGTGAACCAAACATCTGATCTTCAGTATCCAGTGGAGTTAGATGTTAACAGAAGTCTGCATTAAGCTGCTGGAAATGCTTTCCATGACACGCCAAGTCTCAGAACCATTTTGAAGTAGTGATTGACTTAGTGTTAAAAATTCGAGTCTTATTCCTAATACTGACTGCAGCAGATTTTGAGTTTCTGAAACATTAGATATAAGTCATCCATAAAGTCCAGATCTTCCACAGTCTGATTATTTGTCTGACATATCTCTGTTTTCTCTTTCCACACGGTCTATTGCATGACCCAGTCCGCCACCATTAGATATATCATCGCTGATGGTAGGAAGCCTTATCCTACTCCTATATTCACTTTAAACGCTTTGATGAGTTTTCCGTTGTGGATCACTTGAGATGTAGCATTGTCATAAGTTGTTGAATGAGACTGATAAATATTTATGATAGTGCCTTCCGTAATGTTGGAGAAGTTTCCAAATTACTTCGCGGTCAACACTGTCGAAAACGTTTTCACATTATTTTCTTTTCCTGAATTCAGCTTGTTGTGGGCAGAGTTTCGAATCAAGAGCATCTTTCAGTTCCTCCAGTATGACACCACTTAATATTTTGTTTGGCGTGGAAAAGGGAGTGATTATGAGCCAGTTTTTTTCAGAGGACTAAGTCTCCATTCAAGAAGGTAGCCTTTCTTTTAGTTAGTAGTTACCTTTCCTTATTTCCAAACTTTCTGCATCAGTGGAGTTAGGATGTCCACCGAGGTCTCTGGATCCACTTTCAGTGGTTCCAGAGGAATACTGTTTGATCCTTGTGCTTTTACAGCTTTCAGAAGCTTTGTGGCTATCCAAACTCTTTTTGTTGAAGAACTGACGTACACTGTCAGTTCTGTGGCAGTTGGTGTTATTTCTGATCGATGTGCAGGTGGTGGCTTGTTCAAGAGTACTATGAAGTTATAGGCTCACGGTTTCGTATGCTTTCCCTTTTTGATAGTTAAGTTCCATTCAGTGTATATAATTGATTGATCTCTTTCCGGATAGATACCTGGTTATCTGATACAATCCTGTGTAGTCTATTTCACTGGCGATCTGTCCTGTTTCGGTTGCCAATGTATCGTAAAAATGTCTTTTGTCACTTCCAGTACTCTTCTTAGCTTCTTTGTTCCATTCGTTGTCCATCTTTGATAGATTCCTTCCTTCTGAAAATGGGTTCTACCATGTCTACCAGAAGTTTGACAATTTTGTTCAGGACACTCATTCTTCGATGCATCATAGTGTGCTTAGTAGAGCAGTAAATTTTATATGCATAAATGCCTGGAATAACATCTTCTGAAGGGCAGAGGATAAACCCGAACACAATTTAGAAGATTATTCATTATAATATTGGTACCCGACAAATCTCTCATCTAGAATGCATGATGAAATGATAACGAAAGGTATAGATCAAGAATACAATAAAAGTTGTTTCTGATATTTGACTAGGATCAGCATTCAATGATGTCATTTGGTTGGTGGTGACAAGCAGTGAAATCCGTGATGCACTTTCCGTCTCACCTGAGACTCGTCATCTGCGTGTCTCTGCACCCCTGTCCCTCCGGATAGGTGGTGGTGCTTACATTGCGACTCGAACCTAGCACCTGTTGTTCCAAATATCAAAGTGTTGAGCACTAAGTTGGAAGCAGTGTCACTCACTGGATATACAACTATATGCAGCTGATGAAACGCATGTTCTGGATTCCACATCAACGAATCCAGACTAGGTGGTAAAATGTAAATAGTAGGTAAAAATGTTGGTCAAATAAAGCAGTTCAACGGGAAATTCACAATAAGAATTTCAACAAACAGGGATGTTTCACCCACTGTGGGCCTGATGACATATTCATTATTCAGTTCATTAAGAAGCAAAAGTTATGTGAATGTTTCTTCATTAACTTTTCGTGTACTTGAGGTGAAAGGTTTTTGCTACATATTATTATCATTACTTTCATTCTGTTAACTAAGTAAAAGAACGTATGTTGTTTGTGAACTTTTCACCCCCCATTACTGTCTCAATCCTTGGTGAATGACTTACTCTATGAGCTTCGCTTTAGGTAAAGAATAATTTTTTTCTTTTCACGTGTTCATCAATTACTCTCTTTCACTTGAACCTTCAGTACTCAGGGAATTGCCTGGCAGCTCTTTTAAAATGCCACATCTTAAGACTACCAATATCTCTTAGCAGCATTTTTGATGATGAAGTTTTGCATCCACTGAAATCAAGAATGGAGTACTACGTTGTTTTGCTACTAGTCGATGAACACAAATTCTTAAGGAAACCCAGTGGTTGGATTCTGTAACAATAATTTTAGGAAAATTCTATATCCAACTGACTGTATTAAATATATTTACATCGTATTCAGCAGCAGCCTCCCACAACCTCATCGGCGTTTAAATCCAGGATCTTCTTATCACAACACGAGCCCATTGAATGATTTAATGATCACACGAAACCCAATGAATAGTGGATTCTAACTACTACCAAGTCCGGATACATGGTGCCGCCACCCGCCAATTTCATCAGCGAGTAGCTGTTCTCTCACCTGACTGAGTACTATGGAAGTTCCAAAATAGGAAGAAACAACTGTCTAGTAATCACTAGTTTTCCAGTAGTTCTTTAGCTGATGTCATCTTATGATGAAGCCTGTATGCAATAATAGATTATGTCCTAAATGTTGTTATGGATTAGTAATAATAACACTTTCACTGTGTGTGTGTGCATATGTGTGCATAATTTGTCCAATCATTAAACCAATATGGAATTATATACTAACAACTACAGCTGTTAGTTGTTTTCTATAAGTAGAACACTCATTTTTGTGTTTTCCTATGGTTTTCCTTTTTCTTCTTCAGATCCAAATTGATCCTTACCTAGAGAACGCTTTGTGCTCAAAGTGTTTTACAGCCCCAGGAATTTATTTCTGTCGTCATCTCAAGTGTTTTGAGTACTTTTGTCCAAACTGCTGGATTAGCTGTCATGATTCATTGGACTTAACGCATAAACCTTTAAAACGTGTTCTTAGCCCTAATTCGATGAATAGCTTTCCCACAAGACATTTACCTAATTTTATTTGATTATTTGTATATAAGTAAAACAAAATGTGTTTTCAGTTTATTATATTTAAAAAAAAGAATTATATTCATACAGTAAATATCTAGGGTGTTTTTAAACCTATTCATTTAACAGAAAAACTTCCCATACAGACATTCAGAAGAAAAAAAACAAAGTTTGAGCGAATGACTATTCTTTTCAATAATTTCTTTGTCCAGCTGTACAGTTATAAATACACATAATATTTAAAAAGGGGTTGTTATTGTCACTACTGATGATTCTGTTTAAGTAATATCAAGTTGTTAAGATCAATAGAATTACAGTTCAAAAGCCGATGTATAAGTGATAATATGTATAAAAATGTAGTGCTAATTTGAATATCGAATAAAATTAACAAGAAAGTATATGCGACAATTAAAGATAGTTAAAATACTGACGGCCAAGGCAGGGAAAGCGTCTGAACTAACTTCTTCTGTATCTGTAAATTAGGCTTCTTAATGGTGGATGCCAACGGCTTCAGTGATATGTAAAAGGTGAACTCGTAAGGTAAAACTGAGATTAATCGGAGTACGGTAGATAACTTTAAAAGCTTTTTTTCACATCGACTTTATGTTCAGTATCTACAAGATAAGCTAAAGAAGAGCTGCAAATACATAGTGTCTATCCTTTGCTTAACCATGTGGGATGATATTCGGAAATCTGGCGATGGATGTGTGAAAAGGTACGCCCAGTGTACCAGCTCTACAGGAGCAGTCAAACTAATAGATACACATTGAAGGCGCAAAATTAGGTAGTTTATCCTTAACTGTCAAAAGAAAAATCAGAGTGGTTGGGAAGATATGGTGAACTTCTACTGCACTGAATGCTCTTTTTACTGTACTTGTTAAGTGTTGCATCATTTTTGCAGTGATGTTATCACCGAGGAAGTGAAGTTTTAAGAATAAAGTATTTCCCAAAACTATTGGTACATTAGCTTGACTTGAATTTAAATTCATATTCTTGTCAATGAACTTCTCGAGATGACAACTTTTACTCAGTAAGTGTTTCATAATATCGAGTTCCTCATTAAGGCAATCGTTAGAGCAGATTTCTCTTGCATTGCATTTATATTTTGAAGGTATGAAGCTCAAAAAATGGGTATTTGGATCAGTTCATGCAGGCTTTCTGTATGTACTGTCCTTCTAACTGTACCATCCTCTTTTCTGAGTCACGAAGCCTTCTAGCATTCCTTTCTGTGTCAGTGGTAAGAATTTACTGCAGAATTCACATTATGAAATTTGTCAAGGACGTTTTTTGCCTTATTCCATAATAATTTGTTTATCTAATCTGTCACCATACAGAGAAACAGTATTACTTACTGGATGACGAAGTTAAGAACACAATTTATTATCGTTCATAATCATGTCATGAATAGTAACTGCACAACTTCGAAACTTGATTTTTAACTTTTCTATCCTAATTAGACTGGAACAGCAGTTTCAGTCTATTTCTGTACACTTCAATGCGGTAAGACTACTACCTCATTATTGATACTGTTCATTTCATTAATTTTGTTGTGGGGTATAAGGCTTCAACAGCACATCTCTGTTGCATTCAACTCTCTTTAATCACATGCTCTCATTTCCTCTTCACATAATATTCTGCATGTCACTGTCGGACATCTAACCCATTACTCGCTTTCCGTTTGGGTTCCAGTTGACTGTTAGCCTGATATGAACTCCTTCTCAGTGTATGTTCAACTCATCTTTATTTCCTTCTACATATTTATTGGATGAGTAATAGTTTATTGGCTGGCTTACTGCACTGCCAGTGTAAATTACTGCTTGCATGTTCTCTCCTACCATCTGGTCTTCAGTGTTGATAGAAGACAGCTGTTGGTGAAAGTCTGCAACAAGATGTTCGGAATGCTTTTCGAGACGCAAATGTCTAGTCTCTGGACCATACAGAAGCACTGGATTGACAGTAGTTCAAAAAATTCATGTGTTTTTCTCTGTTTTAAGTGCTTTGTTTGGATTTCCACACTGTCTCTAGTTTAAGGAACATCCTTATTGCATTCTCAGTCCCATCCTTGATGGCTCTGACATCCCCTCCCCTTCCGCCTCTTGTAGTTTAAACGCTAGTGTTTGTCCATATAAGTAAAAAAGATGACTTCCTTTATATATTTCCCGCTGATGCGTACTGCTGCCAGTTGTTGCTGTTTGAGAATCTTTATCACTACTGTCTTCTTTACTTCCGTCTGAATTTGCGTCTTCAGTGTATATACCATCAAATTGTTGGTTTTCGCTTTTATATCTACGAATTTGTGAGTTATAACACAAAAATAATTCTTGAAATCAAGATCTTCTGGGGTCATTTTGTCAGTCCAACGTGTCATCATCAACTCCTCACAGCCTCACACATGAGTCAGTCCAAAACAGTGAGGGAGATAATCCGTGATAGTTGGAAGCCTAATATCACTTCTGTCTTAACTACAGGCACTTTGGAATGCTTTCCATTGTTCATCTCTGAAGTGGTTCATCTTCAGTTTCACCATCGTCCTCTCCTCTACTGTGTCCGTAGAGAGTCATTCATTGTCTTGCCTCTTCTTCTAGCTCAAGGTATCCGTGCAGGTTCCTTTCAGTGTCGTTTTCAGGAGGTTTCAGGGTTTCTTCACTCAGATTCCACAGATGACGCCACATAGCATCTTCGGCTTTGCTCTGATTGCAACAGTAAAATCACCGTTTGTAGAATTTTCCTTCAGTTTCTGTGCCTTGGACTTGAATTATGATCTATCTAAAGGTTTTCTGTAGGACTTAAAACTGATGTTGAAGTCTCCTTGCATCAGTTAGCGATCTGAACCTATATCTGCTCTTATTCTCAACACTGTATCCAATCTGCTGCATTTCAGCTTCCTTGAGGTTTAGATAAGTTTTGTTTGCGTTTTTGGTGTATCCATCTTTTCAAACCCATGTTGCCATGTGCAAATCCTGATACCTGTATACGCTTCCACCTCGAATCGTTAAAGGTACAGAAGTCTGCAAAGAGTTCACCGTTATCAGCCATTTCACCAGTAGCCTCCTGACCCATGATGACTGCTCATCTTATATTGTCTTCTATGATCAGGTTTTATATCTGCGTTAACCGGTAGAAATCATCATTCGAAGAACTTTCAACCTTCAGAAGGCCTTTTAGAGATACAGATATCGATGTCACATAGCTTGGAAATTGATCACACCATACATTACATATTTCAGTCCGATATATATCTTGATTTTAGGTCCTTGAAAGCAATCCACAGAAAGCCTTGGACCTAGATTTCGTGTTTATTGGCACTCATTAGCAGGTTGATGTCAGAAGAACCGGTGAGATACCAGTTCTGATATTTAAACCAGAGTCATCCGATATCCCAAGTGAAAACATCAACAGTGAGCTATTCGCATTGCGATTCGCATCTTTTAGGATTGTAATAGACATATTGATTGATAATCAGAGTTTTATGTGAAATCAAGTATAATTCAGACCTTAACCCAAGGGTGGATTTTACCATCAGATGACACTTGAAAGAGGACCAATAATAACTAGTGCGCAGCAGATGGCTTAAATGAGGCATTGAAATAATCTTAAGATGCGTTCAAATAACTATTTAGCACTGGATGGGTTCATAACGAGGCCAATGTAAATTCTACAAATTGAACTTTCGAAACATATTGTAGTTACAGAATATTGTTAATCGAGGAACTATTTAAGGAAAGAATTAATTATAACATATAGTTAGCTTTAGCGCAAATGCACTTGCGGTATCTGCATAGTATTTGACTACAAATCTCTCATTTTTATAAGTAGTTGAATGTTCTTAGAAGGAAGGAATAAATGAGCTAGAAAATATTTTCAAGTGTCCGTTTGCAGGGTTTCGATTAATTACAGGCTTGATCACGAGCTGACATCAGTCACAGAATCATTCGGAAATCAGAAAGTACTGTACATTTCATTCGTCCTAGTTTGGGTCTCTACGTCAGTACTGAAGACGACAGTTACTCGCTGATGATGTTGGCTGGTGGTAGCACCATAGATATTGCGAACTGGCATAAGCTGAAATCCATGAACTATTGGGTTGGATCTTAGTGGCTTTATGACCTACTAGCGGACCTTGCAACCTCTAGGCCCTGATTTCGAACCATGATGAATGCGAACCGATGAAGAGTACTAAACTAGGTCGAAGCATCTTTACAGTACTCCCATGGTTGCCCGATGGTTTTTTAACTAGTGTAAACTCCAGATCCATTATGGATAAGATTTTATTTTGATTAGTCACACAGTGTTGTACAGTAATACTTACTGATCACGTTTCGAGCACAAACTATTGCTCATAATCATATCAAGTTACTCAAACAAATTTTTCCTTCATTTATATATATGTATGTAATTGACTAGATATTTGAATAAAATTCAATATGAGATAATGTGAGTAACTTGATATGATTATGAGCAATAATTTGTGCTCGAAACGTCATCAGTTAACATTACTGTGTAACACTGTGTGATTTATCAAAATTAAATCTTATCCATAATGGAGTTACACTCTACCACAGTGCCCAAGTTCTTTTTTGATTATAGCTTGATTCCACACCGTAGTTTTCATACAAGTATGGAATTTTCAGTATGTGATATCGGTAGCTCAAATTTAGCAGGCCGATCATTGATATCGGGTGTGCGTCGGCAGGGGATCTAACCCCGGACCATGTGCATGGTCGGCAAGAGTCCTAACCGCTGTGCCACCGACGCACTTATATAAACTCCAGATCGATCCTGTAAAATTAATGATATTCAGAAATAAGCTATGTGGAGAGTTGATTAGTTTCACAGTAGGTTTCATCATCATATTCTAAAATAGTCAGAAAAGGAGTGAAAATCATAAAGCTGTAAATAGCTGTTCCGTTTTATTGTTAACACATCACCGATCCCCCATCATCACTCTCTAGGTGATTTATCTCACAGTTATCAGGACTGGCAGTGAAAATATTGTCATTCAGCCATTGGGCTCAAATAAATCAGTCTTCATATTATTTTCAGGATATAACACTGCTACTATCCTAAGACGGTAGTGTGATGGTAATCTGAGAATTCATAAGTCTATTTCGAGTCACAGGGCTGTGGATAAGCATTTCAGGAAGAGCCTCAAACTACATCAAAACAGTCAAACTTAAATACATACATACAACTTACCTGCGAAACACGGTAGTTCAGATTTCAGTTAGGATTCAGACGGAATACTATTGCTGGACAGTCTCAAATACTGGAAAAAGCAGCTGTTCAGTATCCCCTGCTGACTTTTTATAGTTCTCTAACTAATAAGAGTGCGTGATCAAACTTTAGGACCAGTCAACTCAAACTTGGAAATTAATGCTATGTATGATTTATAAAGTTATTTGTCCCTTTTTGACTATTCTGCCAATTGGCTTTTTTCTTCTATTATTAAAGACTGAAATTAATTTAAGTGTTGATGGACCATCACCAGAGGGTTCATCCAGTGAACATCAAAATGAGTACCATGCCTGGCTGTTAGATGAATGGTGTTGTTGCTAATAATTATGATGATCTACCTATGAGCACTTCAAATTTAATGGGAGAAAACAAAGACTAAGAAAAAGAGTAAAAAGAATTGGTAACAGTAATGTGAATAATAAAATAAAGGACGAAGTTGCCTGGAGTTCTAGTGTGAAGTCGTGACCAAGAGGGTTCACCAGCTCAGATGTGAGAACAGACACTCGTCGTCGCACTAAAATCGTGAATTAGAATTCATGGGTTAGCCACTGGATTCCGCCGTAAGTTTCCGAAAGTTCAACAAGCAGACCTCGTAACCCTGGTTATGTGGGTCATGGGTGCGAACTGATGAAGAGTTCCAGGCAAGACCAAACAACTACTCAGTAATCACTGCTAGTTTCCAGTGATTCTCTAAGTTATGAATCAATCAAATCCGTAAAAACTAGCTCTTAAAAGGTAATAATATTAGGCGTAAGCTTTATTCATATTGGCAATCACAAAATTTCAATTATTACTACTATCACTATTATTATTATACATTAGATTGAATACTAGATAGTTGCTAAGTGTTGGAATGTAAGGAACTGACTGATTTTGATCACGAACTGACTTCACTTAGAGGCCTGCTGAATACCACCAGGGAGTACTGGGTATCTTTTTCCTCCCTGTTTGTGACTTCGCAGTACGTACCCATGACCTTCAGGCTAGAAGGTGAACTTGTATTCCATTTAGCCACTGGGAAAGAATACAGTGGCCTATGAATTCCAACTTCTACTGATTCTCTTGAAGAATCCCAAACAAGGACGAAACACATTTCTAGTACTCCCTGGTTTCCCAGTGGTTCTCTAAATGAAATAACTTTCTGACCAAAACTAGACAATTTTACCTATCGGCTTCAGTAAATTTTCATTCATACTGCTGTCAGTGGAATACCTGTATGTGTGTGTATGTCGACTCACCATTTTTCTCCTTTTCTTTTTCTCCTGTTTCCTCTGCACAATATCATTTTATGTTATTATTCTGACAAATAGAATAAATCAAGTTAACTTCTCATTCCCATCCATTTCAGTATTGTTTTCCATTATCTAAACGACAGATGAAAGTTTACAAAAGATAGAGTAAGTTGTCTAAAGTGTCTACTCACACGCATATTGATCTCTGTATTTAAACAAATTCTCCAATTCTTTGACAGATGTTCATTTTTCTTGCATTGTCTATTTGTTTCATTGTTACTTTTTTAGTGAACAGCTGCCAGATATCCTCATCACTGTCAAAATTATCATGTATAGTCGTAACTATTACTTCTATTCACTGTATATTCCTTTATATGTATGCTTATAATTTATATACGTATATAATTTACAATTCTGAATAATAATAATATTTTATTATATTCAACTTTTTTCTGTTTTGTCATCCACCAAAAGCCTATTTGACTACTCTATAAGTTAATCAATCTATCGCTATTCATATTTTGTTATCGCCAACACGATTACGTCATTATTGTTGTTACCACTTTGTGTGTGTGTGTGTGTACCATCTTTACTCCATTGCTGATGTTTAGCTAATAACCAGTTACGCTATACTTAGCGAATTGGAAGAAAATGGAATTCACAGGCCATTGGATAGGGTTCTGGTAGCTGAATATTCTACGAACTCACCTTGTAAATGGAAGGTACTGGGTTCGAACCTTGGTGGATGCGTACTTATGAAAAGTCTGGAACTAGGACAAAACAGCCGTTTCCTAATCGATATCAGTTCCTTCCTTTCTTTTTAATTTTCTATATATGTAGCGATTAGAGTAAAAGCAGTTATAGTCATAGTGTAAGTTGTTTACAGTATGTTGGGGGTTTGGCTGAACTTATACTGCTAGGAGATATAGATGCAATAGCACCACAGTGTTTCCCTCATACGATGTGCATGCCACTTATGCTGCCTCTGTACTATGGAGAACAAGGTGATTAGAAGACATCGACCCGAGGATTTTACATTCCGGCATACATGGTGGTCATCCTTAGCCGGCAGTAAGATCTTTATATGGATGCAACTCTGTGAACCACTTCAAATAGACCATGTATGTGACTAGCTTTAAGCAGTTACCCCTCGGGCCCTTAGGTCACGCAATGCTGATGCTCCTTCTATTTCAGGTATCCTAGGAAGAAGTAATGCCCACCCACACACTTCTATAAGTAAACAAAGAAATTCCATTTCAGCAGAGCGACATCACAACACAGCTAAAATATAATTTCAAAGAAAGTGACATGAAAACTAATCGTACAACAATTTAGTCTTAGTAGCGGATGTCTATCAATAGTGGTGAGGTCTAAATGGATCTCTTCTTCTACTAACTAGTTGATACACAGTATTTATACAATATGGATTCTCCTAGAGCTGGTTTTCAGGGATTTGATTGATTTCAAGTTTGATTACGAACTGACTTGGGTTGGAGAACGGTTGAAAACCAAGGCGAGTTAGTTTACCGAAATGGCAGATGTTACAATTTTCGGTCCATTGGATTCCGTCCTAGTCATTCAATGATATACGAGCTTGCCTTGTTACTTGGAGGTGCTTGGTTTGATTCCTTGTTGGGCCATGAGTATCTACTGCTGAAATACCTTTATCAAGGACAGAACGGCTGTCCAGAACTCCCTGTTCTCTAAATGAAGTCAGTTAATGATCAGTCCTGAAATACGAATCTGTTTCGCATAATTACTAAGCAGATTATGACTTAAGCATATTTATTATAGTATATTCACAATGTGTGAGAGTTCTTTCAGTGTGATGGTAGATTTTGTCGCGAACGTAGTTCAATTAGAATACCATTGAAATTCTCAATTCACTGAGCTACTGAATTCTTTTCAAGTAGTTAAATGGTAATGCTAAACGTCTTGTTTTTGATTTGTTGGTGGGATATTGAGTACTACTTGTTTCTCAAGAGTCAAATTTGTTTTCTTTTTAAAGAGTCTTTTCCAGTACTCCCAGCTGTTGTTCTATGATTATTTTAGCTGCGAAGTTAATTGAAATTCAAAAAGGAATCTTAGAAACCTTATTATACAGGAACAATTCGCTTACTTCATTTTCTACTTGAAAGACAAGGAAGGTTTCATTTTTTTTTACTGTGGAATCGGATATACTGGCGATTTTAACAAAGCTTTTATCAGCGTCATTTTTAAAAGATGTTTTACAGACTAAACAGACACGTGCTAGGTGTATTTCCTCATGGTAGTTTTAAAACAACTGAAGGCAGGCTGGAGCTTTGTATTATTAATAATGCCATGAGTTCTGAATTCGATATAGTCGTTCAGCAGGATATCTCCAATTCACTCTTTTCTCTGCGGTTCCCTTTAACTGGCCACTTGACGATCTAAAAGTTGTCATCTACTCTTCACACGATCTCCTCCATGTCATCGAAGTACACAGACCCGACCAATCGTTTCCTATTTGGTTTTCCATTCCAGGACCTGACGGGTGACGTCAACCAAAGTTACTCTCATCATTTCTGTCTACTACATATTCACTTTAAGTGAAGTCCTTGCTACTTCTTCTGTATACCTGTTGATGTTTGCCTGTAGATCCTCAGGCTTTTTGTAAGATATTGAACAGAAATCCAGGTCTTCTGGAGTCTTCTTTTTTATCCAACGTAAGTTTTGTATTCCCTCCCCCCAGTATAATGTATGCTAATTAATATGTCGGAAATAAGTCTTTATACTTTTCAAGAGTTTCTTTGTAAGAATTCGATTTGTTTCAAGATTTTGATCACGGAGTGATATGAGTTAGAGAACCATTGGAAACCAGGGAGTACTTAATAACTGTTTCTTCCTAGTTTGAGACTCACTAGTAGTACGAACTCAACGGGTTTCCCACCGAGGCCTTTCTATTACAAGGCAAGTTCGTAGACCATTTAGCCACTGGGACACGACTCAATGGCCAACCCATGAAATTCATCTGAGGGTAAAATTTAATAATGTCTCACAGTGTTATACAGTAATATTTACTGAATATTCAACGTGGGTTGTTTGATAAACGGGAACCAACTTGACTGAAGGAAAACACCTAGCTAGTCAAGTATTCATCCTTCTGTTGACTGTGCCTGCAAAATTATCGCCTTTGAAATCAAACTGTGTGAATATATCCTTTTCGTTTATCAGTGTTGTTTGTTTGGCACTTAAATCCCCAGATCTTCCATAGCTGTTGATACATTTTTGAGAGTAACTGTTGCAACGCAATCCATACGTAACTAAGCAATTCATTCATAAGACAAACATTCAGATACTGAATGAATGTGCGTCGGTGGCACAGTGGTTAGGACTCTCGCCGACCATGCACATGGTCCGGGGTTCGATCCCCTGCCGGCGCACACCCGATATCTATGGTCGGCCTGAATTTGGGCTACCGATATCCATGCTGAAAATTCCACACTTGTACTGAAAATACGGTGTGGAATCAAGCTGTAAATCAAAATAAAAAATAAAATAAATGAAAGTAATACAACAGTGAATGACGGATAGAGTTACCAGAGAGATTACTTGTCTTCTTATCTCTAGAAAATTCTTGTAATTTTCCCATACTCACCAACAGGTTTAATGACACTCGTGTGATATGGTAGATGACGACCCGCAGTGGAACCCAGGATGTGCATTTCGTCCTATTTGGGACTCATCACTGGACGTATCAACAGTCTCTAAGGAATAATGGTATTACCAGTAAGATTCACACTCAGTTACAATGGTTTCAAACGCCAGCGTTACTAATTAGACTACTTTTGCCAAGGAGATAACGTGGTGTTTTGTTTACCTAAACTTTTGTTTCTTCCCTTCAGTCGATGTTAAAAACCATAGATATCATCAAAGCATCTGGCATGTAAACAGAAGCCGAAGATTTTGGTTCAGTTAGTTGACAGGGAAAACAAAAACCGATTTAAACAAAATAGGTTTAATAACATTTATCTTGAAACTAATTCACCTTAAATATGTGAACGTGCTGTATGTCGACGTTAAAATTATTTCAGGTTGTATGTAGACATCAATGGAACCGAGGGAAAA